TGGTGTATTTAAAAGAAAAAGGATATGGTGTCACAGGAACAATACGTCACAAGATGTTTCACTTGTCGATAAAACAACTATGTCCAAACAAAGTCGAGGTTATTTGGTTTCAAAAATTGACAAAGAATATGGTATTATGTTGACAAGATGGATGGATAACGCCGTCGTAACAATGGCATCAACTTCATATGGTGTGCATCTTATTCAACAAGTGAAACCTTATTCACATTCTGAAAAAAAGTCGTCCAAGTTCCACGCTCACATGTTGTTGGAATGTATAACAAGTTTATGGGAGGCACTGATAGAATGGATGAGGATTTAACAAGATACCGTTTAAGTATTAGTAGTAAGAAATGGTATTGGTCTATACTTACATGGTTAATTGATGCTGCGGTGCAAAATGCGTGGATACTTCATAAGTGTTCCGGAAGACCAACAACTAATTTGATTTTTCGACGTGAAATTGCGACTACTTGCCTTACCAAATTAAAAAACCTTCCCATTAGACCTAATAGGCCAACAATAAGTAGAAATAGTTTATCTCTTAACAGAATCTCTGACAACATTAGGTGGTGTTAAGCATCTCATTATACCTGTTCCTAATAAAAATGCGGTGCGCAGGAGAAGGGTGCTGCTCAGTAGGACGTACGCAGTGTGAGAAATGCGATATTGGACTCTGCATTGAATGCTTGCCCATATTTCATAAAAAGTAAATCTTATAATATTTTTATGGTATTTTGACTTAGTGATACCATATGGTCACAGTTTGTAATGTCATATGTTCGATAAACAAATAAAATGTAATAACTTTTTCTGCTTATTTGTTATTTTTCCTAAACTAAACTTAGCAAAAAACTACCAGTTTTACAAAAAAAAATTAATTCAGGCTTTGATGAATTAAAAACAAAACTGTTGCCTGGTCATTCTGGAAAATTGGCATTTCTTATTGGCAGATTTACAGATTCTACAACCTATCTTATTTGAAGAAAACCATCAAGATCGGGATATAAGAAAAAGTATGTATAAAAAAATAAAAGTAGGTACATAAATATCTATCAAATATAAATAAATACAATTTTTCGGTATAATTACCTTGTTTAATAAGATCATCGGCCGTATTCAAACGACATATTCTACGAAATAAATCTCTACCTATCCATATACAAATCTCGGCTATTAGCCGAGATGAACAGCATCTAGCATAATAATACTATTCCACGCTCCTAAACTAGCTTTAACCAGAGACCGGTTACAAGTAGAAGGAACTACTAGAACCAGGAAAACATAGTTCCAAGTGCACTTCATGAGAATAAGTATTTTATAATCGTAAGGTTCTACGTGCACAACTTTTTTTTCAAACTTTCCAGTGTGTATTAAAATTTTGAGAGATGGAATCAATTGAATGTATAGAACCTAACCTAACCAACCAAACTAACAGTTTATTGTAGAAAGTCGGATATTATTTGATAGCAATAACAATAATAGGTTAATCTTAGACAAAAAACATATTGGGGAAAAGTAAGTGTTACCTGAATTTAAGTAATATTGAATTTAATATTAATTATTAGTAGAAACTTCTCCTGAAATTGACAATATTCTAGGTCAGCTCGAACCTCTGATGTTGTTTTAGTTCCAAAGTTAGTAGATTATTCATCAACTGATACCGATTACAGTGAAGTAATTCAAGCACTAGAAAAGCACATAATAAGAAAAAGGAATCTTGAGATATGGATTAAAACATAAGAAAGAAGAAATAGGATTGTGCAGAATATTGTAGATAACACTGCATGAACAAATTTGAGAGTATTACGAGACGAGGCATAAAAAAGTCTTATTATTCTCTTGATCACACTGGAAAAAACAATTACTTAATTTACAAAACCAAAGGCATTTTAGTGAAAATCAGAAAATCTGTCCACACGAGTTACAAAATATCCTTTTAATTTAAAATTTATTTTGAAAAAAAAAATCAACGAAACAGTAAGAGTTTGTAAAAATTTGTTCTTGGCAACACTGTGTATTAACCAGAAACCAGTCTAAAATGTTCGTTTCAAAAATACAATACGAGAAGTATGGTAAACTATTTAAGAGGAAAGTGTACCAAGGAGACAATATCTAAACCCGAAAAAGATATTATACGAGCTCACATTCAATCTTTTTCTTACATGAAATCGCATTATTGCAGACCAGAAAGCTATACATTTAACTATGAGTTTAAATTAGCGTTCCTACGCTCAAAGTTGAATAGATCTGAGATGTGTGAAAAATACATACTTAAGGAAAATAAAAATCGAGCAAGTCCTAATGACAAAAAATTACAGGTTGAAAATAAAAATATAATGAAAGATGAGCGTGTAGCTGATAAAGAGTTATGTAACAAAAAGCCTGTAACAATTTGTTTTTACTTACAAAATGTAAATTTACCAAAATCAGATGTTTCTGTTTTATTTTATAAACGAAAACAGAACATTTATAACCTTACTGAACACAGTTCCTTTAACAAAGCTTGTTATTGTGTCGTTTGTCCAGAAACATTGTGTAGGAGATCTGGTAACGACATTGTCAGTGCATTTATACAAATTTTGCAATTGGTATTAACTCATCATCCAAAAATTGAAGAATTCATATGCTGGAGTGATAGCTCTGTTCGACAAAATAAGAATTTCCATATATCCTTAGCGATCACAGATTGTTTACAGAGATATCCGAAAGTAAAAAATGATTACAATTTGTTTTGTGAGATTATCAAAAAAAGTAGATAGTACATATCCATTTGTTGTTATAAATATGCAGTCCAAATATTTTAAGGATTTAAAAAAACTGTATAACTACAAATATATAATTACAGTAAAATGTGTATTTTAAAGTGTGCCAGCAAAGATTCTCGCAATGTGAACCGCTTTTGATAGAGTTTAAAACTAATGCATACAATTCTGACTTTGTAAAAACCACAATAATTAAAAAAAAAAAGGATCGGAACCTCAAGGAAGTCCCTAAAATATATGCTACAAATGAAGAAAAATCAATCGTTCATGGATAAAAAAAATGTAAGCATTACATTTTCTTATTCCTATACGCCCCTCGAAGATAGGCAGTTTGTAGAAGCATTGATTTCGGAATGTAATGCAGAAAAGTAGAGTACAGCTTTGAGTGTTGTCTTATCACAGCTTAAATGATGCATTCGCTACTCAATGAAACTAGCTTGTGGCAGTGGCTTAATATTTATTAGAAAAAAATTACCTACTTAAATTAAATTACTATAGCATAAGCTATAGCATATATTACTATAGCATAATTATATAAGTCTTCTACAATAGCATAAGCTAGTTTTTGGGTTTCAAATATACCAGACTTAAATAACAATAAATATTTAATTATTTTATGTATGATTTTGATGTCACAGCTAAAATGATGCAGATAAGATGAAGCATTACACAATTTATCAATTTGAAATTTGCGAAGTAGGCGTTGCATTAAATTCATATTGCAGTTCAGTTTATGTTTAATTTGACATTTAAAAATATTTAATCAGCAAATAACAAAATTATTAAAGAATGGGTCTCCGAACTACGATTAGTGAAAAAAATTTAATTATTACTCACCATAGAAATGGATATAGCCAAAGAGACATATCCAAAATAGTAAATAAATGTTCATCGACAGTTAGCACATTGTTGAACGTTACCGAAATAAAAATAAAGTTGACAATAAATCAAGATTAGCTCCAAATAAGATTTTTTCTTAAAGAAAGATGGATTGTCAGAGAAATAGCAAATAATCCTTAAAAACGTGCACCAAAATTGTGACATGAGGTGGAAAGACAGTTTGGAAAAAGATGTAACGCCGAAACAATTAAATGGATATTATGAAAGAATAATCTACATGGTCAAACTGCTAGAAATAAATCTTATTAGCCAAAGAAACAAGTATATTAGATTGAAGTTCGTCAGGGAGCATATTAACAAATATTTCAGCTTTTAGAATTAAGTAATATTTGCTGATGAAACCAAAATAAACTTGTTTGGGTCCGATGGAAACATATCGGTGTGGGGAAAGCCGAACCAAGAACTAAAATTAAAAAATATAAAAGCTACGGAAACTCACGGTGAAGGTTGAGTCATGTTGTGAAGGTGTATGTCGTTCGCAGAAGTAGGTAACATGCATTTGATTGAAGTAAATATAAACCAGTACATGTATTTGGATATACTTAGACAGCATCTCGCCTCTAGTGCTCAAAAATTAGGTATCAATAACAATTACCCGTTTTATCAGGACAACGATTCAAAACACACGTCATATCGGGTTCGTACTTGATTGCTTTATAATTGCCGAAATGTCATTAAAACACCAGCTCAGTCACCAGATTTGAATGATATTGAAAATTTGTGGTTGTCAATAAATAATAAATAAAATAGTACGTCAGTATAAAATAGAAATGAATTGAAAGTAAAAATTACTGATGCTTGGGACATAATTTTAAAGTTTAATAAGGAAAGCCCAAAATAGGGAAGACTTTGCAGAGGTCATCGCCAACCTTAGCTAAGAAGACAGCACCCAAATGAGAAGGGACAGAATTTCCCCAGAGTACGCTAGAAAGTTGGTCGAATCAACACCTAGACATTCTGTAATTAATAATGAAAGAAGATTTACAAAATATTAGCAACCATTTTTCAATGTGTCGAGTTTGTTTTCTTTATTAATTTTCTTGTTTTATAGATTGCAACATTTTAGCTGTAACATCAAAACCATACATAAAATAACTATATTTATTGTTATTTAACTATAGTAAATATGAAACCCAAAAACTAGCTTATGCTATTTTAGAAGACTTACAGTAATTTAATTTCAGTATTTAATTTTTTTCTAATAAAGATTGAGCCACTGACATAAGCTAGTTTTATGGAGTAGCGATTGCATCATTTAAGCTCTGAGCCACTGTACGTTGTAAAAAAAGCTAAGTTATATTATGAAAGTATGTGAAAGCAATATTGTAGAATACTGTGGAAATTATTTTTTTAGTAGTATAATTACTTTTTTAACGTACAAAACCTTCCAGTATTTCAACATAACGTTTTTAAATGTACACTTATATCGGTTTATATATCATTTAAAAAAGTTAGGACAACTCCCGCTATTTGGTCTATTTTCAAATACTTTTAGTTAGATTTGCAAAAATTAAACACCCGCTTTTATTACAAAAACTTAATAAATATAGGATGGCAAAATAAGACTTCCGCAAAAATTAACTAGTTTAATCTAAAGTCGAACAGAAATAATTCATTATGACTCTTCAGATTCACCCTCTGTTCTTCTTGTAGTTGTTCTATTTCTAGCTCCTCGGCGAATCTGATTGAGACAGGCCAGCATCCGGATCATGAAAGACGCAGGAACAGTTATCGTATCTCTAGTTTCTTCCAGCATTATTGCGTTTCTATTTATCAACTGAAACAACCGATAAATATTAAATGAGATAAAAATTGCTCTAGCCACATATAAGCCATCGAAGTAATTTCAGAAAGCCAAGAAATTAAATATTTGTACGGCTCAGTAGTAGCCTAAAAGTAATCATGTTGAATAATGTAAAATTTATGATTTGGCACTGTCAATGTAAAATTTGGACAGGCCTATATTTTTAACAAATATTTTTGGGAAACTTAGATGTAGAGGTAAAAGTCTAGTCGCAAAAAAATGTGGATTGCAAAAAGAAAATTATAAAATGATGGTTTAACAACACACAATCAGATAAATGATTCAATAACTTTGAGTTTTTTTAATAAAAAGCAGAAACACTGAAATCCCTTCTCCAACTAGATATTTAATGGAAATTTAAAGGTATGTAATGTTTTGTATAGCCCTTATAGTTATTATCAATTTACAATCAGGAAAAACTCAGAAAATGTTGCAAAAGTGTTGTCCGGTTTGTTAAAGAAAGGAGTTAGTGTATTATACTCGAATGAACAAAATTATAAACTATTTTTGTAGTGTTATGTAAAGTGTAAATATAATTTTGTTATGAATTATTTGTTTTTTTGCGTATCATCTTTAAGTTATGACCTTTAAAATAAATATTCAAATAATAAATCAAATAACCGTTAGTGTGTATATCCGAAATATAAAACTTGTACATATAATGATAAGAAGTAAAGCTAAGCATATTTAAATTCTGAATATTTAAGTAATTGCTTTAGATTTGACTCACATTCTCACATTCATCTTTTGGCGGTAGTCAAGGCTGCCAGGTCTAGGGATTTATCCCGAATCTAGGGATATTTCAGTATAAAAGGGACAAAGGGATTTTTTTGATATTTAGTGTAAAATCTAGGGATTTTTGACCGGCTCAAATATTTACCCACATAGGCCTATTATAATAACATTTTCTTTAATTCGGGTATAAAACCACTTCGTATTAACAGTATTAAATACACGATCTTTCATTACAACTAATTAAACTAACAGTAAACTACTTAAAGATTCTATTATCAGATGTCGCTAACTGTCCACGTTCTTGGAATCTTTATTTTATGCTACCAAATAGATTTCTGTCAAAAGTAGATTCCTATATATTTTCAGAAAGAAGCTAATTCTGGAGCTGGAATTAGGGGATTTACAAAAGTCCTAGCTTTTATAAAATAAATCATTAGGGGATTTACAGTAGGAATCGGGTGATTTACAGGATTCGTGAAAATCAATAAATAAAATTCTATGCTTCAGCGTTTCATTTCTCTTCAAGTTGTATTTTGTATTAATTTTATTAAGTAAATATGCAAAGAATACGTACGTTATTCCGTTTTTGTTAAATTTATTCAAATGATCGCTATTCTACTGTTTATGAAATAAAGGTATAAAACAACAATTTTTTTATATCAATGTTATTATATTAGGCAACTATCAATACATCCCATAATTTTATTCAGAAATAGGCAACCATATATACATTTATTTCAATCTAGGGATTTCTAGGGATATTTAAATGTTCAATTTAGGGAGGACAAAAATTTTCACCTGGCAACCCTGGTAGTTCGTATTTGAATTCCGAGCAGTAAACACGTACTCATATCGCTCTCGAGATTCAAGTTTCAAGTTTTTCTGCCGGCCTCGGCTATCGGCCGGGACTAGTTTATTGCTGATAATTAGTGAAATAAAAATAAAAGTAAATAACTATTCTTAAGTGATTAATTTTAAATAACTATTTATGTGATTAATTTTTAACCAGTGGCGCACTATACTAAGGAAATGTACCACCAAAATTTACAAAATCAAGTGCCAAATGGGGAGTTGTATAATGTGCCCCAAATATATACCCAGCCTCAACAACCTCCAATAATATCGCCCCCATTCTATGGGTTCCCGAGCAATGTCCAACAGGTAACAAACCAATATATACCGGCTACTCCATTCCTAAACAATAATCACCAATATAACCTAAACCCTCCTGCACCTCCAATGGATCAACCAAATACATCAAATGCCACCCAATACACCCTCAGCGAAGAGGAAACTGTCATGGAAAACTCGAGCGACCAAGACGACGAAACCATAGAAAACGTTCACGATTGGCAAACAGTCAAAAAAATTACAAAAAAAAGGAAGGCAAACCCCAAAGATGACAACACAACAACGCAAGTGAGTACAAACAACAGATTTGAACCATTAGAAAACTTAAACGATAGTAATAACACACCAGTAACACCTAAACCTCCACCTATATTTATCTATGGGGTAAATGATATTAAAAAAATGACTGAAAACCTATCAACAGTCATTAAAGCTGAAGACTACCAGTTGAAAGCTCTTCCAAATGATACAATAAAAATAAACCCCAAAACTATAGAATCATACAGAAAACTTATACAGCATTTAAATAGCAACAAAATAGTTCACCACACATACCAAGCAAAACAAGATAGAGCTTATAGGGTAGTTATAAGGAATTTACACCACTCGATGCCGGTTGAAGAAATAAAAAGTGAACTAGGTAAATCGGGACATACTGTCCGTAATATCATTAACGTTTTGCACAGAGTCAATAAAACACCTTTGTCAATGTTCTATGTGGACCTAGAACCCAAAGAAAACAACAAACACATTTATACACTGGATCATATCGGCAATATGAAAGTCAGCTTTGAACCCCCTCACAAAAAGAACAATATAACACAGTGTCAGCGCTGTCAACGTTATGGACACACAAAAGCGTACTGTACAAGACCATACGCATGCGTGAAATGCGGAGGAAGTCACCCATCACCAAAATGTACAAAACCCAGAAATACACCAGCAAAATGTGCCCTGTGTACAGGAGAACACACTGCAAACTATAAAGGCTGTGTAATTTACAAGGACTTACAAAATGCAAGAAATAATCGCCAAAGCGGAAATCAGTCGACCCATAATAATCCGAACCCACATCAAAATGTTAACCCAGCACCAACTTCACAGTACCAGAGTCAACAATCACAGTACCAACAACAGAATGGAACCCAATCCTATGCCCATGCAGTAAGAGCAGGAAATCAAGTAGCTGACATAGGGTCTCAAATGAACTTATTCTTAAACGAATTTAAAGCAATGTTCACCCAACTAATGAATCAAAACAGCATGATCCTTACCATGCTAACACATTAATTAACAAAATTCGTTAGATCTGTTCGAATCGCCGAGTGGAACGCAAATGGTTTAGCAAACCATAAAGCAGAAGTAATCCAATTCCTAAAGGACAACAAAATAGACATCCTTCTTGTATCTGAAACGCATTTCACAGAAAGAAGCGTCATTAAAATACCTCAATACTCAGTCTACCACACTAGTCACCCAGATGGAACAGCCCATGGAGGATCCGCAATAATTATAAGGAACAATATACAACACCATCAAATGCCGGAACATAAAACAAATGAGATTCAAGCAACAATACTTAATATAAATGCCAGGCCTTGGGACTTCGAAATTGCTGCAATATATAGTCCTCCTAGATATAGAATCACAACTGAAGAATACGAAGAACTATTCAATAAGCTAGGTAACAAATTCATTGTTGGAGGTGATTGGAATGCTAAGCATACGAATTGGGGCTCACGACTCATTACACCAAAAGGCAGAAGCCTATTAGATGCCATCAACAACACAAACTGCACTTACTTATCGACGGGACAACCAACATACTGGCCATCCGACATAAATAGACTACCAGATCTACTAGACTTCTTCATCCTAAAAGGAATTGCAGCAAACTACACAGACATAGAAGCAAATTGGGATCTCTCGTCTGACCATACACCAATCATAGCAACACTCAGCACCCACATAATGAAACGACCTGAAATACCCAAGTTAACGTCCCCTAAAACTAACTGGTGTGAATTCAAGTACCAGCTTGACATGAATCTAAGTCTTGGAATCAGACTAAAAGAAAAAGATGACATAGATAAAGCTATAAACTATCTCACCTGTCAAATTCAACAAGCTGCATATCGAGCTACACCATCAACTCCAAAGCAAGAAAACACAAATACCACTCCGAATTATATCAGACAACTAATAGTCGAAAAACGAAGAGCAAGAGGTAGATGGCAAAGAAGCCGCAATATTAATGACAAACACGAATATAATCGACTAACCAGACAATTAAGAACAGCGCTAAATGATGCACGCAATGCCACATTTGAGCACTACATTAGTACCTTGTCTAAAGAAGATCACTCAATATGGAAGGCAACAAAACACTTAAAGAGACCTACAGAACACAACCCACCAATTAAGAAAGATGACGGTACTTGGGGAAGATCAGACCAGGAAAAAGCGTTAACATTTGCAGAATACTTAGCTGGTATTTTTAAAGAACACCAAGCAGATAATGATAACGATGGAAACTTAATAAGAGAATTCCTGGATAGTGCTTGCCCTATGACGCCCCCAATAACACCATTCAGTCCATCAGAAGTGAAACTAGAAATAGAAAAATGCAATAACCACAAAGCACCTGGATTTGACCTAATAACAGGATTAATACTGAAAAATCTTCCGAGAAGAGCATTGGTCATGTTAACTACAATATACAATAGTGCACTCAGACTGACATATTTCCCAATCACATGGAAATTTGCGCAAATAATAATGATTCACAAACCAGGCAAACCTCCAAATAAAACATCATCCTATCGACCAATCAGCCTGTTGCCGACAATGTCTAAAATCTTCGAAAGACTACTACTTGATAGACTGAAGAAGGACATTAACCTAGACGCAGAAATACCCACACACCAGTTTGGTTTTAGAGAGAGACATTCCACAACACAACAGACTCACAGAATTATAACAAAAATCCTTACTGCTATTGAGGAAAAAAAATATTGTACAGCGGCATTCTTAGATGTAGAAAAGGCGTTTGATAGAGTATGGCACACTGGACTCTTATACAAACTCAAAAGCATTCTTCCAACTCCCTACTACCTAATTATGAAATCCTACATTGAAGATCGTTACTTCCAAGTAAAATATAACACAGCAACTTCCACATATTTTCCCATTAAATCAGGCGTACCACAGGGTAGCGTCCTGGGTCCTCTCCTTTACCTATTATTTACCGCAGATATCCCAACCACTGAAACAACCCAAATTTCAACGTTCGCTGATGACACCACCATAATCGCTGTCAACGAGGACCCCATTATCGCGTCTGCACAACTGCAAAACCACCTTAACCAATTGGGAACATGGCTCAACAAATGGAAGGTGAAAGTAAATGAAACGAAGTCATCCCAAGTTACATTTACAAACCGAAGGGATGTATGTCCAACAATCACATTAAACGATACACAATTACCAGTCAGCACACAAGTTAAATATTTGGGACTAACCCTTGACAAAAGATTAACATGGAAGCCACACATTCAAGCCAAGAAAACCCAGATCAACATCAAAATACGACAAATGAGCTGGCTTATGGGTCGAAAATCAAAACTCAATACTGAAAATAAACTGCTCCTGTATAAATCTATGATAAAACCAATTTGGACCTATGGCGTTCAACTCTGGGGTTGCTCAAAGCCATCAAATATCAAGATAATACAAAGAGTCCAATCAAAAATATTAAGAATAATATTCAACGCGCCCTGGTATGTAAGCAATAAAACCCTACACGAGGACTCAGCTACACCTTTGGTAGAGGAAGAAATCCAAAGGATCACAAAGAGCTACCTTGATGGTCTGAGAAGTCATCCAAATGATGAAGCAAGACTGCTAAACGCTCCTCCCGAATTCGCAAGACGACTGAAGAAACAATGGCCAACAGATTTAATAAATTAAATATATTATGATCTAATGTAAAAAATATAATAGGAGAGTTGCCACAGGGCAGCTTCTCCCTCATGTATTTAACATTCAAACTATTTACTTATAGCTTCGATGAAGCAGATTGTAAATTAAATTATGCTATAAAAAAAATCTTTTGGCGGCAAATTTTTATTAATACTTGGCCTACTTAATATTCTGAACCAGTGCAACGCTTTCTGTGAATTTTTTTATACGCTATATAAAATATATAATTTCAGAGGCCAGTCGCAATATGAATACAGAGAAAAGAATATAATTAAAAAATTATAATTATAAAATAATATTAAAACCATCATATAATATAATACATCAACAATTAGAAATAATGGCATGATCATATATACTATCAGATAGATATTGTTGTATTAATTATTAGCACATTGCGATTTTGCTACTTTGAAGTAAGTTTTGTAGGCCCCTAGCTAAATTTTATCTTCCTCCATTCTCTTTTCTCCATAACCTTTTTCTTCCAATTTTTGATTTTTCTTTATTTTAAATCTTCCATAATCACCTCTGATTATATTCGTCTGGGTCTGCCTCTTCTCTTTTTTAGATCAGGTTTTCTCCACGCAATATTTTTAACTTGATTCTCATTTTCCATTATGCCCAAATGTCCTAAACATTGTATTCTTCGTGTCCTTAGAATTTCACTTATTACAGCCCCTCTCTCCTCCCTCCCTCCGATCCATCTTTCGTCTTATTCATCAAGGTTTCAGCCCCGTACAGAACAGTTGGTCTCAAAACTGTTTTGTGTATTCGTGCCTTAGACCTTCTTGACAAAAATTTAGATTTTAATATGCATTTAAGAATCCTACGCATTTATTTCCTTTGGCGAGTCTTTTATCAATTTGGCAGGATTTCCCTTTTTTCTCTTCTCTTTCTAGTAATATCACATCATTAGCGTATGCTATACACTAATGACCTTTAGTTAACAGTATATTATTTTTATTTATACCAGTTTCTCTAATGACTTTTTTCTAGTACAGGCTTAAAAAGTGTTGTGGATAAGTGGTCCCTTAGACATAATCTAGTAATCTCGAAAAAAAAAAAATGTCCACTCTGTTCTTCACCCTTATGGTATTTTCTCTTTTACCCAACTTGCTTTAATCAGTTCTCATACTTTGATTTTTAATCATTTATAAAGCCCTCCACACTTTATATTTTCCACTGTTACTTGGCTTTCCATAGGGCTCTTATTTGTTTTCAATTTTTCTATTATGATTAATATTTCATCTTGGCTTGGTTGTTCTATGAAATATTAGAAATAATAAAAACATTTAAAAAAGTAAGATCTTACTGTTTAAAGAAAGAGAATATGCATTTTTACCAAAAGATGTTCAAGCTAGTTTTATTCTTCTGTTGATTTTTGGGAGTAATGAGCCAGATTTATGTATTAATTGTCGCAGTTATACATACTCGTCAACTGTCTCAAGTGCAGTTTTGTTTTTTATTACATCTTGGACATCCACTAGTTCTTTATTCATGGTTTTTGTTTTTGTCAAGTTCATATTTAGGCCCAACTTCATGGTTGCATTTAGGTCACTAAGTTCTTGTAGTTCTGCAGGATTATTAGCAATCAGAACGATGCCATCTGCAAACCTTACATGTCTGAGGTATTCTCCATCAAGAGATAGGCCTTTGTTACGTCAGTTCATTTTGCTGCATATTTGTTATGTGCAGTTTGTCCATACCTTGGTTGATCAAAGCTTCTATTACTGCCTTGAGATATATATAGAATCGAAAGCTATAAAGGTTAAAGCTAGCGGTATTTCATATTCTTTAGCTCTACTCATTAGTTCTCGATGCGTATGGATATGATCTAGAGTATTGAACCTACTTCTGAAGCCAGCTTGCCCTCTTTACTGTGCAACATCTAATGCATTTAATAATCGGTTGTTCATGATCTTTGTGAATATCTTGTATATGATTGCTAGTAGATTTATAATTGTGTAGTTTTTGATAACCTCCTTGTTACATTTCTTATGAATAAGAATTATGTTTACTGAAATTTAATGATCTGGTATGCCTGCTAAGATTTTACAGGTTTTTTGCCAGCAAATCTAAGCAGTTCCACTGTTATGCCGTCTATTCCAGCTTTTCCGCTTTTCATTTTTGTAATTGTCGATTCTAATTCGTCTGTTCCACTGTTCTACTGTTATGCCATTTATTCCAGCTGCTTTACCGCTTTTCATTTTTGTAATTGTCGATTCTACTTGTTCCGAAAGGAATTCTGGTACATCTTCTTGGTTGCTGATTGCTTCTTCAAATGTTTCAGGGGCTTTGTATAGTTTGCTGTAACATCTAGTCACGAGTTGTATTATTTCATTTCTGCCTGTAATTCTGGTGTTTTCGTCAGTTAGAGCAACGATTTGCTTCTTCCCAAATATTAATGCTTTTTTTGTTTTCTTACAGTTTTTTTTCTATTTTCGATTGCCTTACCCGACTTTCATTGTATTTTCTTATGTCTTCCTTATTAACTTTCCTGATTGTTCGTCCAGATACAAAGTTCTGTGTATTGTATCCTCTGTATGCTGCTACTTACTTTAATTTCCCTTGTTTGTTTTAGCATTATTTTGGTTTTATTAGACAGTTTACTATGTTAATTTTGTTGTTGCGGCCCTAAGATTTATTTGGCACTATCAAGGATGATTTCCATTAATTGAGAACTGTCGATTTGGCCTTCTATCAATAATAAGACTGACATCAAAGATCTTTCCAATATGCATCAGAATTTAATAAATTAAGTTGTTTTTAAATGCACCATGACAGATATTTAAAATATGACCCTCAACCACTTGTGTTTTAAGATACCTTCCAGATGTCATCTGTCAATGTCAGATACCAATTTTTCAATCCATGTTAAACTTCTAAAGAGTGTAAACATGAAATATAATTATACAATGTAATGTTTATAAAATAAAGTACTTGACAAAAAGCCAAAATGTTTAAGCAATAGTTAAGTAAGTAAATATTATTTATCCAAAAACAAATAGTGGTTCATGCCAAATTAAATTCGGTATCAACAACGTATTTGAAGTGACAGGTTCGGCATTAACAGCCGACAAATGACAATACATAAATGACATTTTTCTGGGCGTTTTTAATAGGCAGCTAATGTATTAACGAAGAGGCCATTTAATGATATTAATTAAATATCTATATAATTCCTGTTAATGATCTAAAAGAATATTTCTTACCTCACTAGCAACTCTTTCGTCGAATGAAGACTCTTCCAGGATGGGAGCCCACAATTTTACATCATGGTCAATTCCACTGGTGGCTAGCAAAGGCAGCGTAGGATGGGGCTGGAGACAATTCACTACATGTTGGTCTGCTTGTAACAGCATTTTTAATTCGGCGGTATGACGATTCCAAATAAAGACGTGACCACAATCTGATCCTGACATCACGTAATCATCTCCCCAGAACGTTGCTTCCTTTATCATGGTTCTAGAATATCAATCATATTTTAAGTGTTAATTTTTCATTAAATATATAACAAGAAAATCAAGATAATGATTAACTGTGCTTTTTGGAGAGTGAATAACGACTTAACTCTTAAGATAGAGTTAAAGTTTTGTTGAGTACAGTCCTCTATATACAGTTCATACATTTTCCCTACGCTAAAGTCTGTAGACAAATATTTAATAGAATTTTTTTTCCTAATGTAGTCAATTCCACTTTCAATAATGTCATCATGGCTAGTGTAAAATGAGATAGGCATATTTTTGGACTTCCCTGGTATATACGCAACTTTTAAATTCGACTCTATTTTTAAAAATGTTAAGGTTAAAAAGATATTTGAGTGATAAGGTGTCATGTCACATAATTTCTAATAGATTTAGAGAATAGAGGTGTTGTGCCACATTTTTAGAACTTTAAGGAATGAGGAAGTTTCTTGTTCAGAGCTGGTGTAATGTCAAAATTTTGAGATTATGTTTATTGTGTTTAAAAGCTGTGTGTATTGTGTTTCATGTTGTCTGTACTATTAAATAAATAAGTGTTTTGATAAGAAATAACTAACATTTTATTATGGGATCCAGAATTAAACGCATGTTTAAATTATTAGAACAAAAGTCAAATTTTTTAAATATTGGTAAGTATGTTATAATGATGTTTCACTAACAGTGAATATTATATTTTCAAAGAATTATATATAATATATATATATATATATATATATATATATATATATATATATATATATATATATATATATATATATATATATATATATATTATTTGTAGTCTCAGCAATTGGTCTATATGAAATAAAACTCTATTTGTTATTTCTCAATATTTCGTCACAATTTTGTGACTTCTTCAGGAGAAAACTGTAAATTTATTATGATTATTATATGTAAACAAAATGAATATTTCAATACTTACAACTTAAGATTAAAAATTTAAATTTTGATAACATATCCAATTAGATAAATGACAAAATTGTTCTCAAAAATAAAAGTTAAAACTCCAAATTCACTAATGAGTAATATAATTTATAGAATAAATTGCAGTCAATGTCAAAGTTGTTATATTGGACAAAGTCAACAGTGGCTTAAACAACGTGTCACTCAACACAAAAGTGACTGTAACTTACGAAAAAACTCTTGTGCCTTAGTGGACCACCACTTAAAGACAGGACATAACTTTGACTTTAATAATGTAAAAATCTTAGAACAAATTGATAATTATAAAAATCGACTTTTCCTTGAAATGGTACACATTAATAAAACTCCAGAATCTATCAATTATAAGACAGACACCAACCATTTAAGTAATATCTACTGTAATATACTAAACAATATATGATATGATAGATCTTAATATCAATATCTAACAACATCAGATCAATAACTGACTACGTACCATCAATTACATTTTATAGATCAATTTACCATGTTCCTGATTCTTTCTCAATATTCTACTTTTCCACTTTATTATATGGATAATACTGTCACAATATGTAATTGTTTATTAAAACTTATTCTCTAAAAATTGTACAATGGGAATTCACTCTATAAAATATTGCGGTTGCCATAACTCCCAAATAAATTAAAATCAAAAAATGTCATTTATCTAATTGGATATGTTATCAAAATTTAAATTTTTAATCTTAAGTTGTAAGTATTGAAATATTCATTTTGTTTACATATAATAATCATAATAAATTTACAGTTTTCTCCTGAAGAAGTCACAAAATTGTGACGAAATATTGAGAAATAACAAATAGAGTTTTATTTCATATAGACCAATTGCTGAGACTACAAATAATATTTAACACAGTACGGTCGAGAATAATTTGATATATATATATATATATATATATATATATATATATATATATATATATATATATATATAATTTATATTTCTATATTAATATTACAGTTGATATTTACATAGGTACTGAGACATTTTTTATTTGCAGATAATACAAACGATGGTTTTCAAGAAGCTGCTACATCATCCAGTAATAAAAACGAAAGTTTTCAAGATGTTACGTCAATTAGTGACTATTCTCCATGCAGCAATGAAAACGATTCTGATGACTTCAATAAACAAAATATACGACACATTACTGCTAATGGTATAGAGCAGACTTTTTTAAAAACAAAGTTGTTTACACTAGTTTAGTTTAGATTAGTGTTAAAAATGTTTTATAAAGAATAATATTATATTTAATAAAAAATAACTTACTTTCATATCTGTATCACTCTTTTATTCACAATAAATCATATAACCTTTTTCATTGTAGGTTAATGGATAAAGGTGTTATGTAGACAAAAAAATATTTTTTCAAGAGATTTGTATCAAGAAATACAGTAATTTCTGTTTATCAATTTACTCAGAACTAAAAAAATGTGACATAACACCTTTCTAAACTTATGTTTTCAATTCATATGTTATAGAGAGATAAAATATTAAGTCCATATGAAGGTTCTATCAATCTCAGTAAAAGTGGACTTGATATTCTTTTAAAAGAATCTCAGTTAGGAACAGATCTTAAACGTAGCGTTCTATCACTCTAGAAAATATGAGAAGTATTTTAGTGTGTAATAATATAATTTTTTAAAAAACTGGACATAGTTGTATTCTTCCGAGGTATAGATTTTATACGTATATTAAATGAGGTGTTAAATTTGGAGGTTAATAGTTGGTATGGCATCGATGGGTCATACAAATGTTGAATAAGTATGTCTCAATACATATCGAAAAGCCTCTACAACATTTTTAGTAGCTCTTATTCAAACAAGTCTTATTTCCACGTCTCGCCGCACCGCCACATTGTAGTCATCATAGACTATTATAGCTAACGGCAAAATACGAAAGGCATATTTCCTGTGCCTTAAAACGGGAACCCGTACACCAAGTGGAACACATTTTAAAAAAAAGTTTGTTAACGCGCACACAACATTGTTTTAAAATTGCCAGTTTTCTCTTTATATCGATTTTAGAATGTGCAAATTGGGGCAACCGTGTATAATGTATTCATCACCCCTTGAGATATTTTTTAAATTAGAGATAAAGGGAATGGTAACAGATTTTGCGAATCTCCCTATAATTAAGAAAAGTTTAATTTCTAAAAAAATACCTTGAGTTTCTGTGTCCCATATACTTCATTTTCATTTCAGCCTCGAACACGTGTTGTTTATCATCCTCCTCTTCGTTAGATTTTCCACTACCACCTCCGAGAGCGTCAGGTACAGCATCTTCTTCATCTTCATAGTCTAAATCGACTTCAGCATTCTAAAATATAGTTTTAAATAATAGTGTACAAAAAAAAATAAATTATAGAGTATAGGATAAACAGTGTATACATGTATCTTAAAATATTAAATGCATTATTGATGGTCTTCATTTATGTTCATATTATTAACTAATGTCTTTTGTTTTTCTCAAAGTTTTTCAAGTATGAAAATTAAGTAAATTCTTAAGAGCAGTACATCGTATCTAAAGTTTCTATAGTCTGTCCCTCCTTGACTTTACAGTACACGCACATACGGCAATGAATAATAACTCCGCCTGGAATGACTGTTGGGTGGATCGAGTAGCTTAACAGTCTTTCTTGCCGGTCCCAAGCCCGGATAAAGGAGGAGGGTTAAGCGGAAGGCCAACAACCTGCCCTTATAAAAAAGAGTCTGTTATGACAACTGCAAGTTTGCCTCGAAATCGAACAGATACATATGAAAAACGACGATCGCAATGCACAAGGACTTTGAATGTTGGAACATGGAATGTCCTAAGTTGGTACCGGGCGGGAGCATCTAATCATGCAATAAAACAGTTGGAAAAAGTAGAAAGGGACATTACGGCAATACAAGAAATAAGGTGGCTATACACGGGAAACATAAAAATAGACAAGGTGGTCATTTTCTACAGTGGAAACCAGACAGGAAAACACGAATTTGGCACAGGTTTCGTAGTATGAGAAGAATACATGAACAGTATTATAAGTTTCACGCCCATTAGTGAAAGACTTTGTTATATTAGACTGAAAGAAAAATGGGACAATATCTCAATTAAAAGGAAATTCTCAAAATCCGAGAAAATTACCAACAATAAATTAAACAGCATCTAAATACAGTAGAACAGAGCAATGATGTCGAACAGCTGTGGCAACAAATGGAAAAATCAATTACGGAGTCAACAGAAGTAATAATAGGAAAAAGCAAGAAGAGAACAAGGAAATGGTTTGATAGAGAATGTCAAGAAAAACTGCACAACAGACAGATAAGGCGAAACAGCAGAAAGTAAAGAAAACTATGCAACTTCACGCCGAGAAACAAGACAATTAATCAGAGAGAAGAAAAGGAAGTACGAACAATAGAAATATGAAGAAATGGAAAGTCAAATAGTCGAGCATTTTACAAATCAGTGTCAAACGAAAAGGCTTTAGACCTAGATGCGTGTCTGTAGTTACTCAGAAAAAATGATGAATTAATAATCAATGAAAAAGAACTGCTCCAAACATGGCAAGAATATTCCAAGACTTTACTAAGCATACATCAAGAGGAAGAACATGGAGAAAATATATATTTTGGGGTGGACCTACCGGTAGAGGACCCCAAAATAGATGAAATATTGCAAGCAATTAACAAATTGAAGAACGGAAAAGCTCCAGTCTCTGACAATACTGGCTCAATTCCTTAAGTACGGAGGAGAAACTCTACATAGACAAATACACCAACTACATAGACAAATACACCAACTAATAAAAAAATACCAACAAAATGACACGAAAGTGTAATAATCCCCATCCATAAAAAGGGAGACAAAACCAAGTGCTCTAATTATAGAATATATAGGCATCTTCCTACTTAATACGGCATATAAAATCTTATCGAATATCCTATTAAGTAGACTGACACCGTTTGTAGAAAATTTCATGGGAGAATACCAAGCCGACTTCAGAAAAGATAGATCGACCATAGATCAGATCTTTACTCTAAGACAGCTCCTTGAAAAAGGATGGGAATTCAATAGAACTATCCATAATCTCTTCATAGATTTTCGGCAAGCGTACGACAGCATTAAAAAAAATCAGATGTGAAATGCGATGGCGGAACTTTCAGTTTCAAAAAAACTTATCCAGCTTGTTAAGTTATGTGTGAATAGCTGTAGATCCAAAGTACGGATAGGTAACAAACTCTCAGAATATTTCGAAATAAGCAGTGTCCTGAAACAAGGAGATACGCTGTCACCTCTCCTTTTTAATATCATCCTGGAGAGAGCAGTAAAGCAGCACAACTGAACAGAATTACTGACAGTAAATGGGTCAAAATTACTACTAGCATACGCAGATGACATTGACATTGTAGGAAACACAGTCACCAATGTGAAGAAGACTTTTAATAAATTGGAGGTAGAGGCAAAGAAAATTGGTTTAAGGGTAAACGAAGAGAAAACCAAATACAAGTGCATTAACAGACAAAAGGGACAAGATAGAATAGGGCAATATGTTACCATAGACCCATATAACTTTGAAAGAGTGGAGAGTTTTAAATATCTCGGAGCAACAATCACTGCAGATAACGATATCGCGGAAGAGATTAAAGGAAGAATTCAGGCAGCAAACAGATGTATGTACAGCCTCCACAATACCATTAAATCTACAAGTCTAACACGAACATCAAAGATTAGAATATATAAAACGGTGATTATTGGTAATTTACTGGACAATATCGACCCAGTTATAATAAACCTTAATGACGAAAGTGACAGTGAAAGTGAGGAAGACGGGAGTATAGAAGAAATGTAAAATACACAGTTTAAATACATTTTAATTATTTATGTAGGTACCTACGTATTTATTAAGGTTTAACATATTTATGCGCTTAAAGGTAATGGATTTTGGGAACAGCTATGACCTTGAACATTTCACATAAACTTGTGTACTAAATAGGCATAATGCATAGCTCTTGTTAAAATCCAATACATTAATAATATAATTACATATCTTCGATTCTAAAATATTGTAAAAGACTTTAAAGAGTCTGGGTAAGAAAAAAGATTTAGTTATATTCTTTGTGGCATTTTCAAGGTCATAGCTGTTCCCAAAATCCATTAACTCTAAATACATTATTATACAAATATTTTATACAAAATTGTTTTTATTTTATTCACACAAAGGTATTTTTCGAAAAAAAAAAAATGTTTTAGAACCCCTGATAGCCACAAAATGTCAATAATATTAATTCCTAAGTTATTTTGTTATATACTATATAAGTATATTTGCTTCAAACCTGTTTCTGATAAAATTTGGCATCACTGTTGGTCAAAAGAACCTATATTATAAAGTCAAGGTGGAACAGACTATAGAAAGTTGATATTATAGACAGACAGGAGCTCAGGCATGAGTAGCAATACTACTTCACAAGAAATTTGAAAACAGCATCGAAGGGATTAAATACGTAAACCAGAATATATTGCAGGTTATAATGGTGGAAAGAACCATTTTATACTTAAAATAAAATCCACAAGGAAAACAATTCCTGTAGCTGGCTGTATACCACGTATCACAAAAAAAGAGGTTAGTCTTCGTAAGTGGGTATATTTATTTAAGGGTTTTTAAATAAATATACCCACTTACGAAGACTAACCTCTTTTTTTTCATTTCATAATTATTTATACATCTGATATGAGTAATACAATGGAAGAAAATTTTTTGAGGAGTTACAAAGCACACACTAGGCAACTAATAATCAGGACCGTGTAATCAGGACAATGGGCGATTTTAATTCAAGAATTTGGAATACCAGGAATTATGCGAAGAAAAAACAAATGGAAACGGAGAAAATCTGATTAACCTGTGCGATCATAATGAATTACGTATAAACAATATATACTTCGATCACAAGCTATAACATAAATATACATCTATCAACACCAGAGTTAATGATCAACTGTGTAATCCCTTAGCCGCATGCTTGACGTAAGAGCGCCACCGTGAGTAAATTACACAACATAGTTTGGTCTTATGTTAAGCTCGAATTATCGGATATAAATCCACGAGAAAAAGAAAATCGAACTATATAACAAAATTTAATGTAGAATCCTTGGAAAACGAGAACACTAAAATCCTCTACTAAAGACCAATGGAAGACAAGACATCCCGGAACTGCCGAATAGACAGCAATGAAAAATCCTGGAGAAAACTAACAACTAATATTACAAGATGTACGGCAGAGGCAATAGGACAAAGAACAATCAAAACAAATAAACCAAAAAACAATAAACCGTGGTTTATTGTTTTATAGTTAAAGAAAACTGCTAAGAGAAAACGAGATGCCTACAGAAACATAAGCAACAAAAACCCGTAGACATACGAAATTGAGAAAGAAGTTAAAAACAGAGAGAATTGTGAAATAAGCAAACTAAAGCAAACACACTGGGAAAGATTCTTGGTAGAAATGGAGCATGACATGTATAAAGGTCCATAGAAGGTAGGGAATATGTTAACGAGGAAGAAACAATAAATTAAAAAAGGATACAAATATAAACAAACATTATAAAACCTTAAACCTGGACAGAATACTTCAATGATCTGTACAATGTTACAACTACAAACCTATACCACCTGTAGACGGTCGAAAGAGCTTGAAAAAATTAAGTTATCACTAATATGAGATTTTTTAGCCAAATAATATTTCAAATACATTGTGCAAACCTATCTTCCGCTAATGAACTTTATACTGTTCTTGTTTTATTATACAAAAAATATACAAAAAGAGAAATTTATTTTACATATTTTTATAGTGAAATATTTTTAACTGATTAACTAATAAAATTGTTAATAGGCAATGGGTGAAAGTTTCTACGAACGATATACGTTTGTAGTCGATATAATTTTAAATATTTTTGTAATTTACCGTTTCTTCCCTCTTTTCAGTCCTGTCTCTGCGACCACGCTCTGAAGTTGAAGGCACTGTAGAGGCTGTTGGAGGATTTTCCTCGAAAAAGCTTCTATTATTGACACGAAGACTTATCGTTGAGTTTGAGGTGCTCTGCTGAGAATATCTAAAACTTACGGACGGTTCCGCGCCGTGCTGATTTATGAAACCTTCTCTAAGATCTCTTAGTGCTATCAAGTGAGTATGAAGGTGACTAGTAATTCCAGCACGAGGACCATCTGGATTTGGCTGGCAATCTTGTACGGGAGGTCTATCAGAACTGCTACAAATATAATTGCATTTAAATCAATATGAAAGCAAATGATCAAGATTATTTTGATTCAAATACTTGGATATCAGCGTATCCGAATTTAACATATAACCTGTGTTTTCTGTCTAAAAATTAATGCAGCGACCACATTATGACATATCGATGGTGAGCAGGCAAAATGCCCTATCTCACATTTTGTCGATTTTTATATTTTTGGTCGAAACAATCTTAAATGTGCCTATTTATTACCCCATTGGGGAATATTATGCGAAAAGCGACAATGTTGTCTCCGTACCTACGCATTTCAATTTGGCCTATTCAAAACAAACACCATTTGGAATGCGAAATGTCCTATCTATCGTTCATTCTAATTTGCGTGAAGTGGCTGTGAACATTGTACTGATTATTTTGGTATAATCTCTGTAAAAGGTGACCTGTTTTATTAGAAAAAGTTATTGATTCTTAAGTTCTGTGGGCATCGTATTATCTGTGTAGAATTGGATAAAAATCTTATTTAAATTAAAAATAACGTTGAATTTAATACTTCTGTAGATAGGACAATTTGTCAGAAAATAAATTGGTCTAGTACACATCTGTTAAACGTGTCAAATGAAGTTAGGACAAGTTGTTTTTGTTTACATTATAGATTTAAATGCTTTTTATACATAAAGGGGTAATTGCTATTATTTATATTACAGTGTGCTCCAGAGGAATCATGAACCGAGGAAAGAAGTTAGTGAATATGTGTAGACTACAAAATGTGATGGAAACCTGCAATAAATCAATGAACCCACCTTCCACTAAGGTATTATTTTTTAGTGGATACAATGCCCACTGTCTCTGTGATGCAGATTTCGATGGAACCCTACAATACATTGAACTAACCCTCCGCTCAAGTAACATTTTTAATGGTTACATAAGTATGTTTATTTTTAATTCGTAATTTTTAGGAAATTAAGGTTTCTGAAGTGACCGATACATCCACTGTCACTCTAATAACTATCCGAGGTGAAACTGTTGGCGGTGAAATAATTTCAATTAATGAAAATCTTATATATCTCCCAGAAAAGTCTGCATTTCTCCAGGATATTACTTATACTGCTAATACTTCTCCTGTGTATACGATCAATGATTTTTTGGACTTGAATAATATTTCAGGATCAAATCTTGAAAGTGACACTGAAAGTTAGACAGACCATATTTTTCAAGAAAGCTTACCCGATGAATACTATGTTCAAAACCATAATGAACATTCTGATTCAGATACAGCCACTAGTTCGTTTATGAGTTGTCCGATGAATATTTGTCCGATGATTTAGTAAATGATCACAATATAATTCAAAATCAAGAAAATATTAATATAAATGACCCAAATAATTATAATCTTACAAAAGGGCGCAAAAGACGACGACAGGCCGATTCCACTCAAAGTAAACGTAATATTAATAAACAGTTGAGAATGGAAGGCAAACCTTATCTTCGATTTGCAAAGGATGAAAATCAAAAGTCCGAATAAAACACCCAGCGATCATCTCGAAAAATCAAGCCAACTTGTAACAGTACCTTATGTCATAGATCAAAACTTAGACAATGTTCTCTTTTTACTGAAAATATCAGCCGTGCTATTTTTGATAAATTTTGCGATATCACTTTACCATAAAAACAGTCATTTGTGACTGCTCATGTGATAAAAATTGAGAAAAAGAGAAACACCGTAGATCGAAATGACTAGACGCCATTTTGCGTTTCAGTATAGATTGAATAATGGACAAGGTGTTAAGCAAGTTTGTCGAAAAATGTTTTTGAACACGCTTGGTAGGTATCAATTACAAAATGGTTCAGAGATGGTGTCAATAAAGTTTATATAACATCCTCCAAAAATTTTTAAATGATCTGCCTAAAATGCCGTCACACGTCGATCGAAAACATTCATCTAAACCATATTTGGAAACCATATTTCATACAATTTCTGATGTTTTTAAATTGTACCATAGTATATTAATTACTATTTAACTGGGAATAAGTCACAATTAAAGATAAAATTACGTTTATTGACGTTTCAATTTCCACTTCGGAAATCGTTCTCAAAATACAAACGTTTGTATTTTGAGAACGATTTCCGAAGTGGAGATTGAAACGTCAATAAACGTAATTTTATCTTTAATTGTGGTTTATTCCCAGTTAAATAGTAATTAATTTACAATGCCACAAGTAAATAGCTTCAGAACAATATTAAGAAATGTACCGTAGTAAATGCGAAGCTGAAAGCGTTCCCTCTCTTGGCAGAAAAAAGTTTTCAGAAATTATTAGTCAACAAAATATTTCAGTTTTTCCCAATAAGAAGACCAGTGTAACACGTGTTGTAGCTACAGAACTGGAAACATAACAGAGAAGCATGGCAAGCTCATCAAATACCTGACTTGAGAGATGAAATGGAAAAAGACAAACGTAAAGCTCAATTAGGAAATCAGTTCACAATACAATTAGATCTCCAGGTCGTAAAATTAGCTCCCTTTACACACGCAAACGCGTTTTATTACAAGACCAAGCTTACTTGCCACAACTTGACAGTATACAATTTGGCTACAAAACATGCCTGTTGCTATTGGTTCTCTGAAGATCAGAATAATCAGCTTGTTGTATCAACATTTACTTCTTGTTTACTAGATTTTCTTTATAAGATAAGATATTGTGGAACAGAAAATAAAAAAACCTATAACAATTTTTTCAGATGGATGCACTGCTCAGAATCGGAATGCAGTTAATGCCAATGCTCTTTTAAATTTCAGTATATTACATAACATAACAATATATCAGAACTTTTCAGAAGTTGGGCATACACAGATGGGGGTGGATTCTGTGCATGCATGCATTGAGAGAATATAAAAAAATAGAGAAATTAAAGTTCCAAGTGGTTACCTATCTCTCACAAAAGAAGCTAGAAAGCATTCAAACCCATATAAGGCTATTAATTGTGATTTCCGTTTTTGAAAGGATTATAGCAAAACTTATTTTTCTATTCGCCCAGGACGAATAGTAGACGATTTTGTCGATATTGTCTACAGTCAGTTAGGACATATTAAGGTAAAACTTGATCACACGGAATCAAATTGGATATATCTTTCTATAAGACCAAAAAACATCCCACCAATATCCAAATATCCTTCATTATTTACCGAACGATGTAAAATTTCCAAGGTAAAGTGGCAACATCTACAAGAATTAAAAGTGTTATTCCATCGGACAGTCACTTTTCTATGACAATTTGAAACATACTGTTTAGATTCATTTAAAACTTTTTATTGTTTAAAGTTTATCTGGTGTAAAAAGGTTCTATTTTATTTAATTTGTATTATACAATGATAAAGTATAGAGTCCTAGGTAACAAAATATTTTATTTCAAATTGTCCTAACTCACTAAAAATGTATAATGCGAGTAAATCAATTTTTGTTAATATTCACTTTTACGTAATAAAATTTAAGTAATTACGTATTTTTTTAATCGCCCCTATATCAATGATTTTTCTTCCTCCTGTAAAACACACTTTTTGTAGATATAGATAGGACTTATTGCCTGCTTACCGTCGATATTTTGCTCTACTTAGAGTTCATCAAATGAGAAACTGGAAGACAGAAAGGCAGATCACGTTGCCATATTTCCCACTAGAAAAATTCTAAGAGACTAATTCAATTTTATTACTAATTACTAATAAAAAAAATTAATGATTATATATAATCATCATGGCCCATATTGCATAGGTTTGCAAGATATTTACTCATTAATGGACTCACCCTTGCTCTTGATCGGTCTCCATACTGCTCCCCTCTTCCGGATTCTGATTCCTGTTGTCCAAATGTCTCGGCGCATTTTCGTCTGCGTCAACTGAATCTTCACCACCGGCGCTGAGTGCTGCCCTAGTCATCGGATCATTCAGCATCCGGGAAAGTACATCAGTCATGCGTTGCATTAAAGTAGCTTGGAGCTGAGGTCTAGCTTGTCCAATACCTTGAGAAAATAAAATATAAGAAGGCCCAAAAATCAATATTAAAAAAGATATTAAAGAAAAAATACAAGAATATGCAGATTAAATTAAACAGTACTGAAATAAAATTAGCCGAATAAAGCTAAAATAACTTGCGTTAACATATACCATTAAGATATTCTAATAGAGTGAATAAACAAAAGATGCTAAATCCACATTATACTTCTTGCAAATAAGCAATAAGTTGGTATAAGAATTTTAAACAGTCCTGTGATGGTGTAATGGTTCTATTATAGGATGTTATCCCTAGAGAAAGAAAAGTAATTAATATTTTGCCATTTACTTGCAGATGAAGAGCTATTGTCCCTCTCAGGTCGAGCATCTGGACCTGTATCTGACCAATCCCCTCGCAATCGCAACCTTCTCACTGGTATCGGTGATGATATTCTCTCTCTTTTTCCTGTTACAGCTTTGATTTTATCCCATGGTGATGGTTTTTTAATTGGTTTCCTAAGATGCACCGCGCTATTATTCTAAAAAATAATTAAAATATTATTTATCCTCATAAAAACTAAAAATGTTAAAATTGTATCTAGTCTGTTACTAATTGATCACACACAGTTGTCTCGTAAATCATGCACATACAGTAAATACATATTATGGTGAGGGTCGTAGCTCTGCGGCTAAGATAAAGGCGTATCAAGCCGGAACGTTTGAAATTTTCAATTTCTAAAAATTATACAAACGGTCATCGTGCTTCGGAGTGCACTAAAGCCGTTGGTTTCGACTACGTAAGTGGCAGTTAAGTCATGTTTGAGCACTTGCGCGACTGAAAACCCTAACCACAGACCTGAGGCAGAAGTTAATTACTATTTAACTGGGAATAAGCCACAATTAAAGATAAAAATACGTTTATTGACATTTCAATTTCCACTTCGGAAATCGTTCTCAAAATACAAACAGTAAATTAAACATTTTTTTTGTTCCATAGTGAAAAATTCTTCTAATAATTTAATTTTATCTGACTCATTTATATTGGCAATTCAGACATACATTATGCATTTTAAAGTAGACGAATTTAAAATGATATTGCCAATATTGTTGAGTTGCGCTCCTGGGACGACTTTACTTATAAGATAGTTCATTCGATTACATGAAATCAACTTTAACTTGAGAATATCCGTCAGAAAAAAGAGAGAAAAAAAATCATAGCATGTAATTCGTTTTTAAAAAGGCAAACACATGACATGATGACAGTAAAATTCTCCTGTTAGTGATTCCATAGTAAATTATGAGGGAAAAACCTGGAAAAAACCTCATAATACTATCCCGACATTGTAAGTATTTGTTCGTGAATTTAGTTTACCTTCAACAAACATCAAAATTCTGATTTTATATGTTACGTTATTTAAAAAACATAAATGATGTATCCTCTATATGTTACTGAGTTACTAATACTGGTATTTTCTTATTAATAACTTCTTCTTTCAATATTGGTAACCAGATCCTACTACATTCTGCCGAGGAATTTGCGACACAATGGGCCTCATTTAGCATAATTAGAGCCGCTTCTTTGATTTTTCTTTTTTTACCATCCGTTTCTTTTAGGACTACATTTGAATTATTCCATTGAACCCTATGTTCATTATCCCATGCGTGTTTACATATTTGAGATCTATCAAATTCTCTATTTTTAATATAAGATTAATGTTCACTTATTCTAACATTTAATGGCCTTGATGATTCACCTAAATAAAACTGATCGCATTCACAAGGTATTTTATAAATGCAATTCTTTGTCCTTTCTTGTTCAGTGTTAGGTTTGGTTTTGGACAAAATAGATCTCAACGTGTTTGTTGTTTTGAATGTTGTTGAAATGTTGAATTTATTTCCTATCCTTTTAAGTTTTTCTGATAATCCTTTTATGTACGGTATTGTTATTTTCCTCATATTATTCCTTGTGTATGCTGTAGGATCTCGTTCTAAGTTGTTCTGTTCTATTCGATCGATTGTTGAAAATTCCTTATTTATAAACGATAAAGGATAATCATTTTTTAATAAAACAGATGTTAACAAATGTTTCTCCTAAAAGAACGAATTTTCGTTAGAACAAGTAATTTTGACTCTATCGTATAAGGATTTAATTATTCCCTTTTATATTATATTATACGATAGAGTCAAAATCACTTGTTCTAACGAAAATTCGTTCTTGGAGGAGAAACATTTGTTAACATCTGTTTTATTAAAAAATGATTATCCTTTATCGTTTATAAATAAGGAATTTTCAACAATCGATCGAATAGAACAGAACAACTTAGAACGAGATCCTACAACATACACAAGGAATAGTACGAGAAAAGTAACAATACCGTACATAAAAAGATTATCAGAAAAACTTAAAAGGATCGGAAATAAATTCAACATTTCAACAACATTCAAAACAACAAACACGTTAAGATCTATTTTGTCCAAAACCAAACCTAACAATGAACAAGAAAGGACAAAGAATTGCATTTATAAAATACCTTGTGAATGCGATCAGTTTTATTTAGGTGAATCATCAAGGCCATTAAATGTTAGAATAAGTGAACATCAATCTTATATTAAAAATAGAGAATTTGATAGATCTCAAATATGTAAACACGCATGGGATAATGAACATAGGGTTCAATGGAATAATTCAAATGTAGTCCTAAAAGAAACGGATGGTAAAAAAAGAATAATCAAAGAAGCGGCTCTAATTATGCTAAATGAGGCCAATTGTGTCGCAAATTCCTCGGCAGAATGTAGTAGGATCTGGTTACCAATATTGAAAGAGGAAGTTATTAATAAGAAAATACCAGTATTAGGAAGTCAGTAACATATAGAGGATACATCATTCACGAACAAATACTTACAATGTCGGGATAGTATTATGAGGTTTTTTTCCTGGTTTTTCCCTCATAATTTACTACGGAATCACCAACAGGAGAATTTTACTGTCATGTTACATGTCATGTGTTTGTCTTTTTAAAGACGAATTACATGCTATGACTTTTTTTTTCTGACGGATATTCTCAAGTTAAAGTTGATTTCATGTAATCGAATGAACTATCTTATAAGTAAAGTCGTCCCAGGAGCGCAACTCAACAATATTCGCAATATCATTTTAAAGTCTTCTACGTTAAAATGCATAGTGTATGTCTGAATTGTCAATATAAATGAGTCAGATAAATTTACATTATTAGAAGAATTTTTCACTATGTAACAAAAAACAAAATTTGTTTAATTTACTGTTTGTATTTTGAGAACGATTTCCGAAGTGGAAATTGAAACGTCAATAAACGTATTTTTATCTTTAATTGTGGCTTATTCCCAGTTAAATAGTAATTAATTTGCAATGCCACAAGAAAATAGCTTCAGAACAATACCAATAATCAAAGTTATGCCTTTACAAGAACATTTTTGAACAATAAGAAGTAAATACCATGTGTCATAATAAATGTAATCTCATTTATACACACTTTAAAAATTTGTTTAGTAATATATTTCTTAAATCCACACAATCATTGAAAAATGATTCATACTGTTTAAAAATATCTTTCTGTTAACGACACTGTCATCAACAAAGTAGATAAAGTTCGTCGTCATATTTCTCTTCTGTTAATCGTTAAAAATTAATTGATGGTTGTGGGTTGTACTGGTGTTATTTAATAATTTAACAAAATACATAATCACCAAAAATCTTACTTAAAACATCTTCTTCTTTGAGTACCGTGCCCAAGTTTTAGGCGAGGGTAGCTTCCATGACGATTTGCCGATATCGTTCTCGATCTTGCGCGGCATGTAATAATTCATCTGCTGATGAATGCCAATGACAACCAATGCAGTGTTTATACTTGTTTAGCATTGACTGTTAAATAATTTGTGTTCGATTGTTTCGTCTGTTGTACAACCTTCGTCCTTTTTATGGTGTAGTAGTTGTATGTAAGTACTTATTTTTTATAGTAGTGTAGTGAAGCGGTACTTTAAAGCAAAATAAGTAATTTGGAAGAAAATAAAATACAGTCGAAACGTAGAGTGTTATCTCCAGAAGAACGGCGTTTAGTTCTAAAAGTCGAAAGTTATTTCAATTTGAAAAAAAATAATATGGGTCCATTGCCATCTGTTATGGTAGTTCAGAAACGCACATGCGATGTTTGCGCTATTTTAGAAAGGACATTCCGAAGAATTAATAACATCAGTGAGGATGAAATAAATAAAGTAAGCAAGAAAAATCGTCGACATCCAAAAACTTTAGATTTGCACGAGTCAATTAAACTTGCAGTTAAAAATATTATATATAATATGTATAAAGCCACAGAACATGTAACAGTTATAAAAAATAAAAGACAAGGAACTGTATGATATAAGTTTGTGGAGAGTGCTGAAACGTTTAGGTTTTCGATATAAAAAGACAAATAATAGATAAGTATTGTGTGAACTCTCTAATGTTGTTTCAAGACGGTGGCATTTTTTAAGAAAATGCATGAACAATAAAACGTCTGATAGTCCGAGGCAAGTTGTATTTTTTATATGAAACTTGGATTTTCGCTAAAGGAAGTATGTCAGAATCATCCTGGCAAGATGACACCACGAAAAATTCTTCTATTCGTTCCGGTAATAGTAAACGCTACATTACACTTCATGCTGTAAATGATGAGGGTTTAATTCCTGACGCTAGTTTAATTTTTTCGTTCACAAAGAATACAAGTGATTACCATGGAAATATGGATTCAAATATTTTTGAAGAATGGTTTGAAGAAAATTTGTTTAAAAAATAGGAGCGACCATCCGAGAGTAGACGGATAGTGAAATATCAGACAGTGGATAGGACAAATCTTTTGCTAAAAAGAAGTAACAAAGAAGTATTTCGGGAATTCAATTCGGACTTTGTGATGTGTTTTAGTTAAACGATAAAGTATTTTCGGTCTAATTACTGGACTAGATACTCGCAATAACTTTGGTATTAATAACTGGACTACACGTGTTTAAACATTTTGTTTTGTTAAAAACTCGGAAGTGATTTAGTGCCAATTTGTTTCAAGGTTATATTTAATACAGTGTCTGCAGAAAGTAAAGTCTTGGATGTATTTTATTCAAATTTGGACATACCAGCATTTTGGCAAGTATTTTCAAATTTAACTGCATGCAAAACCATTCGTATAATTTTCACTCTACACAAAATAGAGACATAGAGATCTTGATGAACATTTGATGTCGACAAATAATTTCGAGTATTCGAAATATTCCATCCCACTTCTTTTAATACGCCCTGTTATACATATTATATTCATTTTATTTGCCTTTGATACAGTAAAATCCAATATTATTATTGGATTTTACTGTATTGTAAATGTTTACTGTATGTACTTTTATTTGTTATTATTACTGAACATAAAATACTTTTACACAAATCGGAATTAAATATTAACGTCCCACTGTTTGAGGCTCACTAATCATATCTTAATTACATATCGCCCGTCATAGGGTAAAAGGATTATAGTAGTTATGACTTCTTAGTGCAAGATATGGCATCGATGTATACTTACCGTTAACAGTTTAAGTTAATGAAACAACGTTGCCACATGAATCATCGTTAAAATAAGATACACATAAGTTCCCTGGCTTTGTCTCGCTATGACGTCATGCGCAAAGTCGAGTAAAATTAGAACGGCAAGTGAGCATATGTTGTTTGTTATAGTATCGTAGTCATGTAGCAACATAAATACAAGCCGTATTCGCGGAGCTCATCCTAGACTAAACCAGAGGGAGAACGCCTGTGCATTACAAAATTGTACGTTCGCGGAGATCAATTTTTTTCCTCTGAACATCCTCTGGATGTAAAGTTCTGTGTTCGCGCTATACAGATAAAAGATCCTGAACATGTCCAGGATTGCCTATAGACGTTGGAGGATTTTGTTTCGGATTTTAAGTCCGCACAAGCGCACAAAATACTTAAAAAAGGTCAGAAGAATTTCTTGTCATCGTGTCAAATTCTTAACCTTAACATTGTTTGTTAAACAAAGTGAAGATTCTGTTTTGTTAAACAAAGTGAATGTTCTGTTGTTTTAAGTTTTGAGATTATACGTGATATACGTAAGATATATATATATATATATATATATATATATATATATATATATCCCAATATTATTATAATTAGTTTATTAATTCTAATGTAATTACTTTTTACAAGGTATGTAAATACAATAATTTAAATTGTTATATATTAATTTACTTCTACTATACTATTATCAAATTGACTATACTTAAAATGTTATTTTAGGTAATAAATTATTTGAGTTAGAGTGACGAAGATGGGGAGAATTTATTTAGCGATAGCTTAACGAGGTTCCAAAAAACGACTTTTTGAAGAACAGTTCCATATTATGATTATGAATATATGTACTTTACAAGTGTGCAATATATAAAGTCTTCATTAAATGATGAACTAAATACATACATATATATATATATATATATATATATATATATATATATATATATATATATATATATATATATATATATAGTCAAGGGTCAGTATTGGTAAACAACACTATACAGGTACACATGTATATTTGTAAAACCTATTCGCATTAATTAAATTACAGTATGCAGTAACAACATAAACGTAGTAATTTATATGTACTTTAATTTTCAATCTTAGCGCATTTATTTAGTTTGTATTAAAAATTATTAATTTATTCACGCTGTAATTTAATCAAAAACGAACTTTATGTATAAATGACTTTAGTACATTTAAGTCAAACATAAAAATATATTTACCAAAACATTAAATAAGTAGAGGTAGTTAGAGGAGTAACTAACGAGCATGTCTTGGCCATCTCTACTATAGCTGAGAGATGTTATTCTGTAGTGTCGTTCATTCTCAAAGTGCGGCGCCACAAACGTACAAAAAGGTTGGGCCAGTAGTTGATCTATAATAAAACAGACACTAGCAAACTAAGTAATACGCACGGGATTTAGATCTATACCTCCTCTTCGTAGATATCTTCTGTCATAAACTCGCACCGATGAGTCTGCACAACCAATAGCTAAATGGTCTGAAGATATAGGACTAAGGGCTAAGGCTGTTACGGCCCTTTGACAAGAAATTAGTATGTCGTCTCGGCAACGTGCCTTATGGCAACTGAAAAGTAATATGAATCATGAAAATGGATACAATGTTATTGTTTTACATATTATGTCCAAATATCTCATGAGCAAAATTTTGATATCCAAATATGACAATTTAACTAAAATCAATTAGACAAAATATTGCTTATATTAATGAGTGTTTCTTATTTAAATATTTAAAATGAGATTTTGATCATTATTTTAATACGGTCTAATGTTCAAGTCAATTCAAGCGAAAAACACATTAAATTATAGTAAAACAGAGTTTTACTATAACTTGAGTAATCGCTATCACCAGGGATGAACGGCGGGGGTATAAGAAGATTTATCTATTTCTATATACTACATAATTTTCAAAATTCTCATTTAAGTATAACTATTCAATTCCTCAATATTTTTTACGTAATCTTTTTCGTACTCTCTTTGTATAACGATGAAGTAATTACTTTTCGAGATATTTAAAGTTAAACATAAGACTGCAAAATAATTGTGTTTCTAATGTGCATTTATCATGTCGATAGTTTTTGTCATAGGTTAGCATACATTACGTCAATTAAACTTTATAATTAATGTTTAAGGATTATGACTAAAATTTAACAAATAATCAACAGTAAAACAGTTACAGGTATGCAGTAAAAGTTAAACATAAGATTACACATTGTTTTGTTTTCCATATGTATGTATTTATCATGTCGATGGTATGGTATTACGTCATCTAAAATGTATATTATGTAAGGGAAAATTACTTTTTAAGGATTATGATTCAATTTATTATACACACAGACATATACAAGGTGGTCCAGAATTATATACATTAATTTCTAGAGCTCATAGTACGTATTGGGGAAATCTGCAAGATTGCAGATTTCCCCAATATTTAAGAGTTTACTATTTAAGTTATCTGCAAAGATTAAATTTATATTATATTATATATATATATATAAAGAACGAATTATTAAAAAGTGTCATACGAAACATACATACATAAAAAAACAAAAAAATTAAAAAACACGAGCAAGTAAAAATAAGTACGTGTAACATCAAAACAATGATTGAACCAGGAAAAATGCAAGAGATTGTCTCAGAGCTGGAAAGATACGGAATTGATGTTGCAGTAATTCAAGAAATTAGATGGGCAGGTCAAGGAGAAATAAATAAAAAAAATTACACATTATACTACTCTGGGCATGAAAAACAAGGTCAATATGGAGTTGCATTATTTAGAACTACGAGAAAAATACAAAATAATATTATGCAATTTAAACCAATAAATGAGCGAATGGTTTACCTGAGAATTAACGCCAACCATTTAATATATCCATCATAAACGTATATGCAACAACTGAAAGTGCTGTAGCAGAGGAAAAAGATAACATTTATGAGAAACTGGAACAAGAAATTGAGTCTTTACCCAAAGAAGACACAATTCTGGTAATGGGAAATTTTAACGCCCAGATAGGCAAAGAAGACTACATTAACCAAGTTGCAGGTAAATACACGTAACATGAAAAAACAAATGATAATGGTCAAAGATTATGCAACTTAGCAACTAGCACCAATATGATTGTCAGTAGTACAAAATTTGCACACCCTGTATACTACAAAGTAACATGGATATCACCAGACCAAAAAACATGGTCCCAAATAGACCATATACTGATCCCAAAGAGACAGCAAACATTGATAACAGACGTGAGAACATACAGAGGTGCACATGCAAACACAGACCATTTCATGGTTACAGCAACGTTAAGACAAAAAGTCAAAAGAACGCTAAAAAACAAGACAACAAAGGATAAATGGTACATAGAAAAATTGAATGCTACAGATAGAAGAATTAAATGTGCAGAAGATATAAACAAAAAACTGAAGGATACTGTAAACATACAGAGGATGTTGAAACAGAATGGAGAAATATAAAAAAAATGTATAAATGAAACAGCTTTTAAACATGTAGGGATAGAGAGAAAGAACAAAAAAGAAGAATGGTATAATCAAGACTATCATACCATGTTAAAAAAGAAAGTCATATGGGACGAAGAAAAGATGCCAGAATAATGGTACAGCGGAGAAATTATCTCAGTCCATAAAAAAGGAGACCAACAAATGTGCAATAATTAAAGAAGACTGACATTATTAAACACAGCGTATAAAATAATGTCAACCTTAATACAACAAAGACTGGCCGAAGCGACTATAAATATCATGGGACAGAATCAATGCGGATTTATTTGGGGAAAGTCAACAACAGATGCCATACATAGTAAAGCAAATTATGGAGAAAGCTTATGGATATAAAATAGAAATTGAACTGCTTTTTATAAACTTACAACAAGCATTTGATTCAATAAACAGAGCGAAATTACTTACAGGTATGAGAGAAATGAGAATACACAACAAATTAAGACGATTAATAAAAATGACAATGAGCAAAACTGTAGTAACTGTAAAAACACAAGAAGGAGACACAGAAGAATTTGTTATAAATAAAGGTGTACGTCTAGGAGATTTCATTATCTGCAACTCTGTTTAATCTTGTCCTGGAATATATAGTCAGAAAAATCAATAAATGTACACTTAGAACGAGAGAGGGACAAATAATAGCATATGCCGACGATATTGTGTTAATAACAAAGAACAGAAAAACAATGGAAAGTATGTTCAAAGAATTGGTAGCAGAAGGGAAAGTAATGGGCTTAGTAATAAATCAAGAAAAAACAAAAATAATGAGATTTGACAAAAAATATGAAAACAAAAAGATTAGACTGGGAGAATATATATTTGGAGAAGTAGAAAAGTTTAAGTATTTGAGAATATTATTAACAAAGAATGGAGAAAGGGAAACAGAAATTTAATATATAAAATATATATATATATAAATATATATAAATAAATATAAATATATAAATATATATATATATATATATATATATATATATATATATATATATATATATATATATAATATATAAAACAATAAATCGACCGACTACGATGAATGCTGCCGAAACCCTTAGTATGACAAAAAACAAGAGGAAGACCTTAGAATACTAGAAAGGAAAATACTAACAACAATATTAGGACCAATAAAAATTAATGAAAACCAATATAGACAAAGAACGAATCATGAACTACTAAACGAAATTAAAGAGCATATAGTTTGTAAAATAAAACAGCAAAGGACAAAATGGCTAGGACATACATGGAGATCAGGACCATCTACGACAATATTTTCAATATTGGTATGGACACCAGCTGGTAAAAGAAGACGTGGAAGACCAAGAACTACATGGCTACAAGAAGTAACAAATGATCTCAACAGGGCGGGCGTACGCCAATGGAAAGAAAAAACCAGGTAGGAAACAGGGGAGAAAAATAACAGGAAAAATTAAACAAAGAAAATGAGGACTGATCTACCTCGTAACATAGATCTAGAGGTTCTACCACTACTGAGTGATAGCGTAGTGATCAGTGAACAGTGTAGTAGTGTCTATGGGCTCGGGAGACTGAAACCTCGGAAGCCCTGAGGAAGGCATCAGAGAGGATGCCGAAAGCTCGGCAAAATGGATATCGACGCGGTTCAACCCGGAAGACTGATGAGTTTGATATTAATTTTAGTAATAATATTAATCTTAGCTCTAGGTTATATATATATATATATATATATATATATATATATATATATATATATATATATATATATATAAAATCTTTTACTTTCCTACTCTAGGAAAATCTAAAGTTTTACTTGGTTACAAAAGTTCAGTTTTTGTTTGGTCGATAACTGTACCTCGGTAATGACTAGTATTTCCGACAATTGAATTCAGTTAGATCGTCATATTTTGACACAAAATTTATGTAATAAAAACATTTGAACATATTAAAGAAATACCATGTATAACATAATTATATTTTACAAATCTTTTTTTTTTTTTTTGTTCAATGACTTTCAATGAATATTTTAATAATAAAACTATGTAACCGTAGAATTTCAACTCGTTATATAATCGCTACAACAGTAAGGATAGAATATATTAGTTATTACAGTATTTTAAACAAGAATTTAATTGTAATAAACTATTATTGAACTTACTACAATAAGAAAATTAAGTTAAAGGAAATAGAAATATTTAAAAATATCAATAATTTATTGCAATTCATTGAATAGAAAAAGAGTTATTCTACCAAATTGCGCTAAATTTTAACTCCTATAAAAAGTTTAACTAAACAGGTAACTATTATTGAGACTGAATAACTACCGAATGATATGCAATGAAACTAAAAAGAAAAGTCTCAGTAAACTTTGTATATTAATATTACCACTGTTTAATACCCATATCTATCGCGGATTAGTGACGCTCCGCATAAATAAAGTGCAAATCAAATTACAAACATAAAATTAAAATCACTTACCTACTTTTCACCCTTAAATCAAAATATCGTACACTACCGTCTTCCCCACAACTTAAAAATGAGTATGGCTCATTAGGAACAGTGATGACTTCGTATGTTGTTGTCCCAGCGTGACAATTAAATTGAGCGTCAGAACTATCTTGGGCACGATTCAAGTCTACAGAAAAAAGAATCAACAATAATAAGGTATAAATATTGGTAACATTATCAGTGCTGTACTAATAAGCTTGACAATAGAGAAGGATAAACTATGTTGATGATCTTTTTTAAACCCTTTTTTCTACTTGAAATATAAGCCTTTTCCATTTTACTCCAGTTGTCAGAAACGCAAATGCCACTGAACCTCTAAAAATCAAACGAACAAGCTAAATTTTGCTGGGAATGTCAATTTTGGGACCCCAAAAAGATACAAAAAAGTTTACCACTTTTATCGCGGCTTCCCTCCCAGAAAATGGAAAAAATCGATTTACCAAGAAACTGTATGCTACAGAAAAAAAAATGTTTCAAATAAAAAATGTAGCTGTAATAATTTTGAACAAAATGTCTATTAGCACTTTTTGTGTAACTGTGAAACTCAGAAACAACGTTGAAGCAACCGGCAATTGTGAATGTCAGTTACGCGCGCGAAATCAATTTTAATAAAACGTGTATCAACTCGCCGGTAAAAATTCGATAACTCTTGATCAGAGTGTCCTTTCGACAAAAATCAAAATGCGTTTTATTAATTCTTTTTTTTTTTTAATTAAGCTGGTGTTAGAGGTGTTCCACTGTTGAGGCACATTTCATTCAGATAAGCATTTATTAAAAAGCGTTTTTAGATATCTCTTCCTCCTTCTTTCAACATTTCTATCAGAATTCCATCATTTCCAGGCGCTTTTTATTTCTTTGATGGCATGTTCTAGCTCTTCTTCGATTATTTTGAGTATTCCTTCTGAGTTGACATTTATTATGATTCTTTTCAGATTCTGTTTCAAAGAAGCAGGTGCATCATTTAGTGAGCTGTTAAGATCGCTGTAGAATGTTTCTTCCGCTCTTTTAACATGTTCTATTATTCTGCACTCATTTTGGATTTCCGTTTTCGTTTCCGGATAGTCACTTCTCAGCTGGCACTGAGTAGTTCTTTTGTTATAACATCGTTCATGACGTCAAAATCTAATTGTTCTAGTCTTAGTGTTTCGATGGTTCTAAACTTATTTATGTATTGTTCGCTACAATTTTTAAGTTCCTCTACATCTATATTCAACGTGTTCCTAAAATTTCTTCTATCCTTGTTGTCATCTATCTTTAATTTGGCTCTAACCATTCGATGATCACTTATTAGAGAAATTGTATTAATTACTGTTAGGTCTTCTACATGTTTTATTACTTAGATCTCTTAGATTTCATTTCGCGTTCTTTCATTCGCAGACATCCACGCCCATTTTTTTGGAGTTTTCCTTGTAAAATGTATTCAAAGCATGGTATTTATTACTTTCTAGGAAGTGAACGAGTGCTTAGACGAAGAATCTTAAGGAAAAAGACTTCCAAAATTGAAAAGAGTGGCGATTAGGAACGGAAAGTCATATATGCTATGAACCGTTTTAATATTTGTTGAATTTTACTTGCCAAGCATAAAAGATCGTATTTGATATTTGATTTTAAATGAGCAGTATTTCTGTAACTTACCTGTATGTATAATAAGCCCATCTCCTGAACAGGAAATAATCTGGCGATCGTTAGTGCAAGGAAGAAACTTCGCACTGAAAATATTTGCATGATGACTGGTGTAGTAATCTGCTACAACATTGTACTTATGTCCATGTGTAATCACTAAATGTTGATCATCTGAACCAGACAGTAAGTATTCTCCAGAATCATTCCAACATATTGTGTTGACACATCCCATATGGATCTGAAGTTTTTTTATCAGCCCCAATCGTTGAACAAAGTTCTCATCATCTACAAAAATAGACCATTACAGTTTTAACTAAAATTGTATATTATACTTATATCTACAGGGTGAATGATTAGTGTGAGGAAGCTCAGTAGGTCTGTTATAGTAAAAATTACTAAAAAAAGTTATTAACAAAAATTGTAGGCAGCTTTAAACTCCACATTTTAAAATTAGTTACAATCTTACAGGGTGTTCCATAAGATGGTGGCAGACCAAACTTATAACCAATATTACCTGAAAATTGTATCAAGTTTAACTCCCTGTGCAATTAAAAAGGAGTATAGGAACATTGATCTATTGCAACCATAGTTTTTAAATAATTGTTAAAAATTATAAAACATATTCGTTTCCATAATATTCGTTAAATCAAATACAGGGTAAGTCAAAATGCAAAGACATTATTTTCTTGGTAATTTTAAATAGAACACCCTGTATTTTATATCACTATCAAAAAGTAATAATATCGTACTTCAAATTTTATAAAGTACTCCCTATACCTAAAGTTATCAGTTTTCTAGATATTATTGTTTTTCCATCAAAGTATTAATTTGGTAGATATTTTAACGTTTACCAACTCACAATATAATTATTGTGAGTTGGTTATGATTGATTTGTCAAAAACTGACAGTTTGACATTATTGTTTAATAATTTAGTAACGAAATAACGACACAGAAAAGAAAACAATTTATTTAAAATAAAATTTATAAAAAATAACCGACGGAAAATAAAAAAAAAATATAACAACACATAGAAAAATTAAAAACAACAGTAAGTTTAACTTATCTTACTTAAGTAAGGTGTTCAAAATGACCTCCCTAAACATCTATGCATGCTTGAAAACGATCATTGAAAGAGTTGGTTACATTACTAAGCATTTGTAAAGAAATATTTTGAAATGCAATTCGGATTCTATTTTTCATATCATCCCTTGTTGTTGGGGGTATGTATTTTATATACTTCGTTCTTAACGTAACCCCAAAAAAATGAGTCCATTTTATTGAATTCTGGTGACCTTGGGGGCCACCTTACCGGTCCATCCCTTCCGATCCATCGTTCCCCAAACTGATTATTAAGTTCACCACGTACTAATTCGTTGTGGTGCGCAGGAGCACCGTCATGTAGAAACCACATTTTTTCACGTATATTAAGTGGAACCTCTTCTAATAATATCGGTAACTGATTTACGATAAAATCTAATCTCACCATTTAAATTATCTTCAAAAAAATATGGTCCTACTACATGGTTACCGACGATACCTCCCCACACATTTAGAGACCATCTTGTTTGACTATGTGTTACTATGTGGTATGGATTACTTGTTGAGTAGTAGTGAAAGTTATGTCTATTAAAAGAACCGTTTCGATGGTGGAAATAGGACATAATCAAAAAAATCTCTCTGCTCATTAATTTTTTCTAAGGTCCATTCACAAAATACTATTCGTTTCTGAAAATCATCATTAATTAATTCTTGGTGCTTTTGAATATGATAAGGGTGCATCTTGTTTTTAGATAGAATGTTTTGAACAGAGTAGTAACTAAGTTCTTGTTCATTGGAAATAGTCCTTATGATTGTGTGTGGGTTTTCTGTAACCGCCATCAACACACTCATTTCGTTTTCCTCTGTCACACTAGTTTTTGTTCGTTCATGTTTTTCATAATTCACTGAACCAGTGCGGTTAAATCGATCTTTCAATTTTTCAAATGCATCTTGTCTATATCTGTAATCTCTCTGCTCATTAATTTTTTCTAAGGTCCATTCACAAAATACTATTCGTTTCTGAAAATCATCATTAATTAATTCTTGGTGCTTTTGAATATGATAAGGGTGCATCTTGTTTTTAGATAGAATGTTTTGAACAGAGTAGTAACTAAGTTCTTGTTCATTGGAAATAGTCCTTATGATTGTGTGTGGGTTTTCTGTAACCGCCATCAACACACTCATTTCGTTTTCCTCTGTCACACTAGTTTTTGTTCGTTCATGTTTTTCATAATTCACTGAACCAGTGCGGTTAAATCGATCTTTCAATTTTTCAAATGCATCTTGTCTATATCTGTAATCTCTCTGCTCATTAATTTTTTCTAAGGTCCATTCACAAAATACTATTCGTTTCTGAAAATCATCATTAATTAATTCTTGGTGCTTTTGAATATGATAAGGGTGCATCTTGTTTTTAGATAGAATGTTTTGAACAGAGTAGTAACTAAGTTCTTGTTCATTGGAAATAGTCCTTATGATTGTGTGTGGGTTTTCTGTAACCGCCATCAACACACTCATTTCGTTTTCCTTTGTCACACTAGTTTTTGTTCGTTCATGTTTTTCATAATTCACTGAACCAGTGCGGTTAAATCGATCTTTCAATTTTTCAAATGTATCTTGTCTAGGTTGTCGCCTATCTGGAAACCGTTCTTGATAAATTCTAGCTGATAGTAATGAATTTTTATTGCATTCCCCCAATATCCAGATCATATCTACCATTTCATCAGTAGTAAAATTCATTATTGCTAATTTAAATTGAATCAATTACTAAATAATAATTGTTGCTAATTTACGGTGTACCCCAATACTGAATTAATAAATATTAATGTCAAACTGTCAGTTTCTGACAAATCAATCATGACCAACTCACAATAATTATTGGTAAACGTTAAAATATCTACCAAATTAATACTTTGATGGAAAAATAAAAATATCTTTAAAACTAAGAACTTTAGGTATAGAGAGTACTTCATAAAATATGAAGTACGATATTAGTTCTTTTCGATAGTGATATAAAATACAGGGTGTTCTATTTAAAATTACCAAGAAAATAATGTACTTGCATTTTGACTTACCCTGTATTTGATTTAACGAATATTATGAAAATGAATATGTTTTATAGTTTTTAACAATTATTAAAAAACTATGGTTGCAATAGATCAATGTTCCTACAATCCTTTTTAATTATGCAGGGAGTTAAACTTGATACGATTTTCAGGTAATATTGGTTATAACTTTTTAAATACCCGGTATAACATAATAAAACTCTACATTGTTGTAATGTGGAAGTGAAGCAGATTTCAAATTTAAAATAAAATACAGGGTGTTTCATTTAAAAAAACATAAGTTTGGTCTGCCACCATCTTATGGAACACCCTGTAGGATTGTAACTAATTTTAAAATATGGAGTTTAAAGCTGCATACAATTTTTGTTAATAACTTTTTTTTGTAATTTTTACTATAACAGATCTACTGAGCTTCCTCACACTAATCAATCACCCTGTATAGAGTGATTCCGTGGGCTAAACCCACGTCAACGGACTAACACTTATGAAATATTTTTTAAGGGTTTTTATTTTTTAGAGTATTATAGGTAAACAACTTTGGGGTGCTAAATATGGTGGAGTATTTCCAATTATAAAAAATTAATGAAGGGCCTTTGGAGCCACTTTCATCTGTTCAATAGGTAATATATTGAAATGTATGTTCGTTTAAGAAAATCATTCAATAATTGTTTATTTACGAGAGTAGCTTATGCATTGAAAATATGACGACGGACAGTATGTACAATTATAAAAAAGACAGAAAATAATCATATTCTTTCAAAGTCAGGTACAAGTACACCTCGCCCAAAAACCAAATGAACTGATCTATCTTAGGGATCAAAAATAGCAGTACGAAATACAGTATAGGTACGGCATGTACCAACAAAGAAAGTAGGTAACAATTCCTTCAATATGAATTTTATATAAAGGAGTAAATACTTTTTAATTGATACTTTATATAAATGTAGGTTGTAAAAAAGATTGATGAAAGTAGTTTACAAAAATTTCTGCTAAATACATTAATGGATATTAAGTCAATTTTCTTGTCTCAAAAACAAAGTATTAATTTTCTCTGCATTGAAATAGTTAAAACAGTGTGATTTATTCTGTACTTATCTGGTTGTTTTTTAGAGAATCATTTTACTCTGCAAAGTATAAGTACTGAATTAAGGGATAAAGAAGTTGTATTTATTGGCAAAATATCTGTTAGCATTTTGTTTAAAGAAGCACAAAAAGGACAATAATGGAATAACATTAATTGAGCGCACCAGTATTGCTACTTTAAAAGCTAAGTTCCTTCGTAAATATATGGAAAATATCAATAATGTGCACCCCAGAGATCTTGTTTTTTTTTGACGAAACGTGAATTTTTTCAAAGGGAATAAAACAATTTGATGGCAAGACAACAGTGTTAAAGCAACAAATTGAGCGAGGGAAGGCAATGAATACTGTAGAATCCCTGAATATATATATATATATATATATATATATATATATATATATATATATATATATATATATATATATATATATATAAGAAATACTGGATATTATTGACTTTCGATATAAACAAATAACCTTACCTAACCAAGCTTATATAAATAATCTCAACGACTATGTCTTGAAAAAGGAATAAAACCATTCCGAAAGCTCGACAAAAAAAGTCAAAAGAGTGTTTTTTTAACATCCCGGCCAATATTCTAACTGCAACCCTAATAAACTGTGTTATTTGTATATATATATATATATATATATATATATATATATATATATATGTATATATATATATATATATATATATATATATATATATATATATATATAGGGTAGGTGGGGGTAAAAGTCCGCATTTTACATATATGCAATATTTGCCACACTTGTGATTGCAGTATACATATTAAATTTGTCGGGCCATTAGGATAACTAATGCCCTTAGCTGTAAATATAAAACGAAAGCTAAATAGATGTAAGAAAAAAAAACTATACCTCAAAGTACAATAGTTTACAAATCGGATTCTTGCCCCTTTAATCGGGGCAAAAGTCCGCATAGCGGATCTTTGTCCCCTTTGAATAAAAATAATTTTATAAAAATAAAAATTAACAATGTATCAAATACAAATCTTTATTTTGTCAACAAACATTATCTAAAAACTTATAAAAATACAAACAAGTAGATATATGACCTAAAAGCAAAAAGATAA